CTATTCTATTCCATTCCATTCCATTCCATTCATATTTATGATGGTTGCAATGTCCCCCGGGTCACATTTTGTGACCTTCTGACAAGCATAATTAATGGGGAAGCCAAATTCGTTTAACAACTGTGTTACTAACTTACTTATTCTGTCTTCAAAGAAAAACCAGATAATGTAGCATTGCCTATCCCAAGGTCACTGCTAGAGGGCGAAAGAGAGCACATGAGGGAAGATATCTTCCCATCCAAGACCACCAGGGGGCTGAGGAAGCCAGATGTCCCTATTCCACTGCATTGATTTCTTACCTGGGGATGGGCAGTCATCGCATGTTTGCGCAAGGCCGCTCTGTCGGTGAAGGACTGGTTGCAAATCCCACAGATCATCACTGGTTCCTCTTTGGCTTGGCTGCCCTGATGCTGTTGCTTCTCAGATGGACCTTCTCCACCACCTTCTCCTTTCTCCTTATCCGGTTCTTCTTCTTCCACCGGAACAGCTCCGCCATCTTCTTCTTCCATATCGGCCTTCTCTTCCACATCCTTCAAGGGACAGAGAGAGCTTTGGGGCGCCAGTGGGGAAGAGGAGAGTGCTCCGGGTGGTCCTCCCTCTTCCCCCTCAGGCTGCCCCATTTCATCCCCTTCCTTGGGAGGACCAAGACCTTCAGGGCTGGAGATCTGCTCTGCTTTTTCTCCAATGCTTTCTACTGAGTCTTCGTCGGTGGGCTCTTCGTCCTCCTCCTCCTCCGACAGCTCCTCCTCCTGGGGGACAGGTGGCTGCTCCCGTGGCTTCTCCCCTTCTCCCAATGGGGCCCCCTCTGGGGCCGAAGGCTCAGGCAGGAGAGCTCCGTTGGGGATCTGGCCACCCAGGTGCATTCGGACGTGCTGCTGGAGGCTCACGGCATTGGTGAACTTCTTCTGGCAGATGGGACAAGAGTTTTGTGCTCGGGCCGACGGGCTGGTTTTGTGGGCCACGAAGTGAGCCCTCAGGTTCCCCCTGGTGGAGAAGGCTCGCCCGCAGACCTTGCACTTGAAGGGGCGTTCGCCCCCATGCTGCCCGTAGTGAAGTTGCAGAGCTCGCGGACAGCTGAGGACCCTCAAGCAGATGACACACTGATTGAGCCCTGAAGATGCCGGAGAAGACGACACCGAGGAGCCGGCTGTGGATGGGGCCATAGTGGCCATGCCCGAGGAGGACGAGGTCCCTTGCCGATCGATTTTCTCCACCAGCTGCTGGAGCTTAGAGGTCTCCGAGGGAGAAGCCTCCAGGACGTAGGGGAAGGGCCCCATAGCTGGGCCCGCCTTGAAGTGATTGGCTAACAGAGCCCAGCTGGGCAAGGCCCCCACAAGCTTCCCCAGTTGAAGACGGGGCCCTTCTGTCTCTGATTCAGGAGGGGTGTTCTCGTCCCCCTTCCCCTTGGCTTCCACTGCCTTCATCAGGACCAGCTTGTTGAAACCGGGCAAAGCTTGAGCCGCGGCCGACGGAGTCGTGCCGGATAGTAGACTCAGACTCTCGGTGGCACTCAGGGCCTTGCGCTCGGTTGCAGGGAGGGCCCCCTGTTCCTCTCCGGGTTCGGCGTTCTCAGGCGGCACGGACATGCCATAAGGGAGCCCCGAAGTGGTGAGGACGTAGTCCAGGTGCTCGGGGACCGGGTGAGGGTTCATCTGGACGTGGGGGTACTTCTCCCGATGACGATGGAAATGGACCTTAAGGTTGCCTCGGGTGGTGAAACGGTTCCCACAGATGTTACACTTGTAGGGACGCTCGCCGGTGTGGGAGCGCAGGTGGATCTGGAGGGCGCTGTCGCTGCCGAAGATCTTCCCACAGAAACGACATTTGTGGCGTCCGCTTGGTTTCTCGCCTTCCAAGTTGGATTCTCCTCCTCCCGCTCCCCCTCCTCCATTCTTCTGTCGCAAGAGTCCTGGAGATGTGGCCTGCTCCAAACCCCGGGCAGTTCCTAAGCACTGGGCTGCCAAGACACCTGTGGCCGTAGGGAAGGCTGGAGCCAGCAGCTGCTCAGTTTTAGGCACCCTGGTGCTGCCAGGGAACGGGTGGTAGAGATGGAAGAATGCCGGCTTGGGCACATCTGGAGAGGCGGATACCTGGCTCCTCCCAGGTTCAGTTTTAATGGAAAAGATGGGCAAAGAGGGCTTGGGCGGAGCAGAGGCCACCGGAGCAGGTTCCGTGGTGGAGGCCGGAGCCCCGACCTGTCCCCACGAACTCAAGAGCAACACCTGCCGGCAGATCTGTTCCGTCATCTGCATCTGATGGAGCTGGCGTTGTTGCAAAACACGCAACTCTTCCAGGATGAGAGGAATGTTGAGATGCCCGGTGGAGAGAGTGGTGGTAGGGGGCAGGGTTGGGGGTGGTGGAGGAGGGGGCCGGGAAGAGGCGGGCTCTTGGCTTGGCTCGGTCAGCAAGGGCCCAGGTTCCATGTCCATGCTTGGAGAACTTTCGGCGCGGATCTCAACGGAAGAGGAGGACGAGGAGCAGACGCTGGAGTGTTCCTGGCCGACGGTGGGAGTAGTCGCAAGGCCGGCCGAACTGGGGGCTCGCTCTGAGAAGCAAGTAGTAGTGTGAGCAGATAACTCGGAGGGGTCCTTGAAGGTGATGTGACAGGAAGGGCAGGAGAAGGGGCTGGAGTCATCCCCAGTGTCTCCTGGGAAGGTAGAAGAAAGAAAAAAAGAGAAGAAGGAGACAGAGTTAAGTCCAGATCTGTAAAAAACAAAATAAAATTAAAATAAATACAAGAACATAGAAAACTGATGGCAGAAAAAGAACTGATAAAGGCAGACCTCGAATTACAGGAGTTTATGTAGTGACCTTTCGAAGTACCAATGGCACTGAAAAAGTCACTCATCGCTGTTTTTCACGCTCACAACCATTTCAGCATTCCCGCCAGAGGTGGGTTTCTACCAGTTTGCACCTATTTGGTAGAACCGGTTCGTCAAATCTACCGAACCAGTTAGAAGAGGTTCCAC